CATATTTGAGGAAAGAAAAACAACACAAACAAAGAACAGAAGAGACTGTTACTTTATTCCAAAGCACCTGTAAAATGACACTGGATTCTCTACTCAGACCATTAAGTCTCTGCATGTTCATGGGGGAAAGACAGACGATTGAGTTTTGAGGCCCCCATCTGACCTGGACCACCCACACTGGGTTTGACTGATCGGTCTCCTATGCACTGTGTGTAGAGTATCTGTATCAGTCAGAGCTGTTGCACTGAGAATATTTAAGTGGACGGGGCAGAATCATTTTTAAATTTAGAAGACAGATATTTAGTGTTTGCCACAGACAGGGGGGCACTGACTTATGCAGTATGTGTGTCAGCTTTCTAGTCCTAATTTATGCAATTCCAACACTGTTTATGGACCTCAGTATGCAGAAATATTCAGATACTTTATGAAAATAACACATTTATACCATATACAAAAAAACAGCATTGTTTTTCATTCAGATATCTTGAGGTCAGATCATCTAGTTTCATATATCAGTGTCTTCACTCTGCAGCCTCTGAAAGACGAGTGGAAGAGGTAAGGATAACGGGGTGGCCAATCAGATTTCAGATCAATCCCAGTTATAATCACACTCAGTGTAGAGTCCAGACCAGGTCCATCTGCCTCTCTGTGTGGTCTTGTGTACCATCATTTGCCCAGAATCTAGTCGATATACGCCTTTGTGTTATATTTTATGAATTTTATCTGTTTTCATATAAAGATGCTGGTCGCTGTCTCATCGTCTCCACAGTAGGTTTTTTTCGGGGGGCCACTTTGAGAGAAGTTGATATTAGTAGGAAAACAGCTAATTTGCATCAAGTAACTTATGCCTGACACAACATTAGTGTATAAAAAGCATTAACATTTATAAGTACATTTTTAACACATTAAACACAGATAATGCTCAAAGTTTTCCATATTATATGTTTGGTAATTGAACAATAACATATAAGATCATATGTATTCACAGCATTGATATATATTATATAAAGCTCTATTTTATTCTCTATAAATATCATCTTTTGATTATTTACACATAACGATATCCCATTCTTCTTCTTCCTTTCAATACACTTGAACCTTCTGCATTTATACACAATTATTAATTCATTCATTTTAAATAACTTCTATTAAAATTTAGGACACTTTCTGATAACCTTTGTTTTGAGCAGTTTCTTGTCTGTTTGATTCCTTTCGAACTCTCTAAAATAAAAAGCTTTAGAGATGTCTGGTGAAGGTTATTCGAACCAAATGCTGAGAGACCCTGAATGATTCAGGGGCCTAGAACCAGACAGGAGCCTTGAAACATGCCGGGAATTTTAGATATTTATTGTTTCATGGCCCCGAGTGAGCTGTTGTCGGGGGGGGGGGAATTTCTCACAGTGCCTCTGAAGGTCAAAGGTGATTCTACGGTCAGATTCACTCGAACTACAGTAACTCAATTCGGGTTCTGCTAGACAGACACGTAGTATGAAAGTTAACACATTTAAGTATACAATACAAACAGGACATAAGGACAAGAGAGGATGGCAGATTAAAAACAAAATACACTCACAAAAGAAGAATTTTGTCACAGATGAGAAATAAATAGTGGCTTTATGTAAAAAAACTATGTATGAGTGTACATACATATTATGTAAATGTATGCTAAACAATAAAAGATGAAGAAAATCATTCAAATAAATTGATTCAAATGACAAAATATTGGTTTGAAGACATAAAGGAAGGCCTTTTTGACTATATTTCTCAGACAAAAATCTAGAAAATATGTTTTCTTTATCAAATTATCAAATTACAAATCACAAATTATAGATTTTCTTTTTATTTCTGAGGTAGGATATAAACAAAACAACACATATTTCCTTTTATATTTCGAGCTATGATTGATTTTACCCTTTACAGGTTTACATGTGACCTTCTTACACATCAAAAAGAGTCTATCAAATATTAATGTGGCCGTTAATGTGTAAACAAGTCAAATGCTTCTTCTTTCCCAGTGCGTCTCCGATACATCCTGCCTCTCCTGTCCTTTATGCACTGAACCACTAACAATCATTGTAAAGCACTCGCTGTGTGTCCTCCCAGCTGCCAGAGGTGACCAGGTCAGTAAATGCCTCGCTGCAGTAACTCTGGGCTTCCTGCCAGGTCAAATACATTTACACTATGTAGCACTCAGGAGGGAGGCAGGTGACACAGCAGAGTCCTCTGTATAAAATGCATTTGTCTCTGGGTTAAAGCTGAATGTGGGGCTAATGTGACAGGTTATACTTTAGTGTAAGGATTTATATACACTGTCTCCAGCTGCATCTGGAGGATGAGGCCGCCTCTCTGGTTGCCACTGGTCCTTGAAAAGCTTCCATAACAGTAAAATATGGTTACACGAGTCTTGTTTCCAGTCTTCTCCACTGGGCAAAACATTGAGAAGGAGTTTTCTCCATAGATGGACGGCACTAAAATATTAATGTTGCTCATCTCTTCCATTACACAACATTATTCTAGAAAAACAACAACACTAGGCTGAAACAGGGGCACATAAATATATGGTAATCAATAAAGAATCAACTGTAGAACAAAATCATATATTTTAATCACTTCAATGTAACATTATGTGTAAATATTAATTAACATTAACATTAACATTTTTCAACACTTATATATTTGTCACAGTCTAGGAGTGTGGAAAAGGAAATCCTTCGGGATTTTCACCCTAAATTTATTAATTTATTAATTTATTACCAGTGAAATACATAAAGCACTTTGTTTTGTTGCTGGTTTTTTTTCATACTTTCCAAAAACATTGTTTTAAAAAATGATAAATTGAGGGATTAATGTGGTAAAACAATTATGACAGGATGACAAACGTGTTGGTTTCAAGCAACTTGAATTTCCCTCGGGATAAATAAAGTATCTATCTATCACAAAGAATAAGAATATTTTAAAAAGGTTGATAATGTGGTCTGAGAACATTGTGGCAAGTTAAAGACTAATGTATATATATGTTAATTAAGGCATTTTCTAACAATACATGTTTATTAACTAGTTTTAGGTTTTATGAAATTAAATCAAAATATGTTTCTCCAAATATTGTTGTGCAATATATATCCCACCTTTTCAGAACAGCTTTAAATGTTTGATGTTTTGATTCACTCGATGTGTTGAGTGTTGTAGATATATATATATATATATATTAGTGTGTTGTGTTGTTTTAATTACCTTTATTCTTTTCTTTTTTAACTTATGTGAAGTGTCTTTGAGCTCCTAGAAAAGCACTCTATAAATAAAATGTATTATTATTAATATTTTATATAAATTTGCACTTAAAATCTGTGTAACTTTGATATTTACTCTTTCTTTAGGTTGTTTTGCTGTTGTTGGAAACCTAAAATATATCTGCATCTGGTTCTCAGAGTGAGTATAAAGTACCAACAAACAAACAAACATACACTGTAGATATAAATAAACAACAATGCTGCATTATTAAACGTTTAGAGGCATTAAAACCTCTTTTATTCCAACCATATATTACGACGGAGTATTAGGGCCATACTAAGAAAAAAATATAATATAGTTTTTGGGGAAATTATGAGAATAAAGTCATAATAATTAGAGAATAAAGATCATAATGTTATGAGATAAATTCGTATAATACAAGAATAAAGTGTTTTATGAGAAAAAAGCTCGATAGAGTTATCAAAGATCTGACGTGAGCAGCTCAAACCAAACAGCTGCTGTTTGTCTCAGTTGTAACTGTTCAGTCAAAGGTAAGATAAACAATATTAATCATTTCATCCTTAAGCAACAGCTGACAGTTCTCATTAAAAATTACTAATTTTTCTTGTAATATTATGACTTTAATTCTTCGTAATGTTTACGACTTTATTCCGTAATGTTTACGACTTTAATTCTCCGTAGCCTATATTAACGACTTTATTTCTCGTAGTATTGCGACTTTATTCTCGTATATTACGATTTTATTCTCGTAATGTTACGACTTTATTCTCGTAATTTCCAACAAAAAAACAATATTCATTCATCTCAGTATGTAGTACCTGGTATTCTCTCAGTATTTACTTTATCTCTCAGTATGTAGTACCTTTATTCTCTCATATGGTAGTAGATTTATTCTCCTCATTCTCTCAGTATGTAAGTAACCTTATTCTCCTCCAAGTATCCAGGTATGTGTACCTGTATTCTCTCAGTATGTAGTGAACTTTATTCCTCAGTATGGTAAGTACCTGTCATTCTCTCCAGTATGTAGTACTAGTATTCTCTCAGTATGTAGTACCTTTATTCTCTCAGTATGGTAGTATCAGTATGTAAGTACTGTATTCTCCTCAGTATGTAGTACCTGTAATTTCTCCAGTATGTAGTTACCTTTATTCTCTCAGTATGTAGTACTTTCTCTCAGTATGTAAGTACGCTGTATTCTTCTCAGTATGTTAGTACTTTATTATCTCAGTATGTAGTTCCTTTATTCTCTCAGTATGTAGTACCTGTTATTCTCCAGTATGTAGTACCTGTATTCTCTCCAGTAATGTAGTAACCTGTAATTCTCCTCCTCAGTATGTAGTAACCTTTATTCTCTCAATATGAGTAACCTGTAATTCTCTCAGTATGTAGTACGCTTTATTCTCTCATTCCTCATCAGTATGTAAGTACCTTTATTCTCTAAGTATCTCAGTATGTAGTACCTGTATTTCTCAGTATGTAGTACCTGTATTCTCTCAGTATGTAGTACCTTGTATTCTCTCAGTATGTAGTAGTCAGTATGTAAGTACTGTATTCTCTCAGTATGGTATACTTTATTCTCTCAAGTATGTAGTACCTGTATTCCTCAGCTATGTAGTAGCCTGTATTCCTCTCCAGTATGTAGTACCTGTATTCTCTCAGTATGTCCCTAACACTCCGCCGTACTACACCAACACTAACTCCAGTAAATAAACGATGCCTGTCTCCTCCACTAGAGGCCGCTGCTCGGTGGACAAACTCGCTGCGAGCTAAATAATCTGCTCCGTGGAGATCCGCGATGCTCCGACGCTGCTGGAAATGCCTCAGACGGTGAAGCAGGAAAGTTTCCGCGGTCAAAAAGTTGTCGGAGACGCTTCGAGATGAGCCGCAGCAAGTGACCCGTCGCTGTGGTGAGCTCGGTTTTGCAGGTTGTTCGTCTTTTGAAGCTCAAAACTTCAGACAGCGAAGCGACGTCTGCTGCCACTAGCTGCTACCGCGTTAGCACAGCCGGCTAGGTAAATATCACAGCCGCCTTTCGGGAGTGTTTCTCTCTCTCTCTTTCCCTCCTTCATCACCTGCGTCCACGTCGTCAAAAACACACACCAGCCGCGGCGGGTGCTGCTTCGCCTCTTGTGCCGTCGTTTTATGAACATTATCGCAAAACGAGATGGTTTGTGCGACGCTACGCGAAGAGCTAAGTGGCTATCTGTAACCGAGGCTAGCTGACATTGGCTATCGTTGCCAGCAACTTTTCGGCAGGAGAGTTTTTCGGCGAGCTAACCCCGGCGACAATCCCCCCCCTCTCTGCTGCCCGGAGCAGTCAGCCCGCAGTCATGTTCGAGATGGAGACGCATATATCGTGCCTTTTCCCGGAGATCCTGGCCATTATTTTCAGCTATCTGGACGTGAAAGACAAAGGGAGAGTCGCCCAAGTGTGCGCGGCCTGGAGGGACGCGTCCTACCACAAGTCTGTGTGGAGGGGGGTCGAAGCCAAGCTGCATCTGCGGAGAGCCAACCCGTCTCTGTTCCCCAGCCTGCAGACCAGGGGCATCAAGAAAGTCCAGATCCTCAGCCTCAGGCGCAGTCTGAGCTACGTGATTCAGGGGATGCCGCACATCGAAAGCCTCAACCTGTGCGGCTGCTTCAACCTCACAGACAACGGACTCGGACATGCCTTTGTGCAGGACATCCCGTCCCTGCGGGTGCTGAACCTCAGCCTTTGTAAACAGATCACCGACTCCAGCCTGGGTAGGATTGCCCAGTACCTCAAAAACCTGGAGGTGCTTGAACTCGGGGGGTGCAGCAATATCACAAACACGGGCTTGCTGCTCATCGCCTGGGGCTTGCACAGACTCAAGAGCCTTAACCTGCGCAGCTGCAGGCATGTGTCCGACGTGGGCATCGGTCACCTGTCCGGGATGACCCGCAGCGCCGCGGAGGGCTGTCTGTCCCTGGAGAAGCTGACTCTGCAGGACTGCCAGAAGCTGACCGACCTGTCCCTCAAACACGTCTCGAAGGGCCTGAACAAGCTCAAAGTGCTCAACCTCAGCTTCTGCGGAGGGATTTCAGACGCGGGGATGATCCACCTGTCGCACATGACCCACCTGTGCAGCCTCAACCTGCGCTCGTGTGACAACATCAGCGACACGGGGATAATGCATCTGGCCATGGGCTCCCTCCGGCTGTCTGGACTTGACGTCTCCTTCTGTGACAAGATTGGAGACCAGAGCCTGGCGTACATCGCCCAGGGGCTGTATCAGCTCAAGTCCCTGTCCCTGTGCTCCTGCCACATCAGCGATGATGGCATCAACAGGATGGTGCGCCAGATGCACGAACTCAAGACCCTCAACATCGGACAGTGTGTGAGGATCACGGACAAAGGGTTGGAGTTGATCGCGGACCACCTGACCCAGCTGACGGGGATCGATCTGTACGGTTGTACCAAGATCACCAAGAGGGGTCTGGAGAGGATAACGCAGCTCCCGTGCCTTAAAGTGTTAAACCTGGGACTGTGGCAGATGACTGAGAGTGAGAGAGTGAGGTGAAGGCTCTCTGCTGTTCAGTGTCCGTGTGTTTCATTGTGTATAGTTGTACTGAGAGGGGGGGGACTGCCTGTGTCCAGATTCTTAATTTTACCTTCTATACTGTGACTAAAAACAAGGAGAGACTCCGTATTGATCACTGGAATATTGTTCACCTCCGCTGCAATACTCCACTCTTACTCACATGTTTGTTTCAGTCTCTCTCTCTCTCCCGCTCTCTTCTTTTTCTGGATGTGCATTGTTTAATCTCAGCCTGTGTACAGTTCTGACTCTCTAGCTACCTCACCCATCAACACACAGGAGTGCCTACTATCGCTTAATACTAGATTACATTGCATATTTTTGTGACTCATATACCGAATGGAGATTTTTGATATTTTAATAAAAGAAGAGATCTCATTGCAGAATAAATAGTTTAGGCATTTTAACTCTTAACAGAAAGGCTGGAGTTCCTTGTATTGAAGTTTTGATAGAATGTTTTTTTTTTGGTTGTTTTTACTTATGTAACCAATATTTTTTTTGTATTGAATGACTGTTGTTGACAAAATTGTACTTCAAATTGAAGTGGGTGGATCACTCCTGTCTGTCTTTTGTTTACCTAATGTATAGTTGGCTATGTTTTCATATTCCTGAGGAAATGAGTATGTATCAGATGTTCCAGTATGCTACTCTTGTCGAAGGTTCATCAACACAACTACAGTAAGGCGTAGTAATTAACCGCTGCCAAGGCTATATGCAATACTTTAAAACTGTTTATCAGTGGTTTTTCTCCTGAGGAGCTTCCAACGATAGAGTATTTGTTTAAAAAAGCAGTAATTTAAGATTGTTTTATATTCATACAGTAGTGATATTTATGAATAAAGATGGCAATTATGTTTCAGTTCTGTGTGTTTTACTAGAGTTTATAGTTTTTTACCAATTATTTGATTTATAAGATAATTAGAAGAATGCCTTTTAATTTCTTACTTTTCCTATCTCAGTAGGGCAACCGCTAAATTATATTTACAGTAAATGTGATTAAAATAGAGATTATCATAATTTCACAGCAGGTTCACACCTTTTACACCTTAATCTGACATTTAAATTTTGAAAATAACGTGAGTCTGTTGTAGATTTACACTCAGAAGTGTGGTTCAGTTCTCTTGTTGGTACATTAGGGAAAACTTCAAGTAATACACAGCAGAGCTTAAAGACCCATTTAACAGCTCACTACCCTGCTTAGCTATCTTTGAGTATGACCACACAGTCTCCTATAGAGTTTGTTTGAGGAAATAACCCACAATCCACTGCTCTGAAGTGTTTGGGGTGATACATGATGATGAAGAGCACAGTGTTTAGTTGTCCCATAAGAGGTTTTGTATTTTTGACCCTGGAAAACAGCAGAAAGCACATTTTCAGGTCCATTTGGCAGCTGTCCTGTCCTGTAGCTTCCAGCTAGTGTTTAAGTGCTCCTTAAAAAAGAGAAATCAAACAGCTACAACTGGATCAACTCCTACCTGTTTGGGAAGATTGTGTGATATTATTAAAAAACTCCAGAAGAGCCCCTAAATGGACCTTGTGGGGTGAGATTGAGAGTTTTATTTTTTATTAACAGATGAGGTCCAGGTCTGTAAAGGTTTAAAACCTGCGTGGACATCAACTCTAAGGGTGTTACTGACACTGGCCTCTGAATGAGAAAGCAAGATGAGACAGTATTTGAGTCGTTAAATAATACATTTACCACAGCCGATGGGCAAATCAGTGGCCAATTAATGTAGACTTTAAATTCTGCTGCTATTGATGGGTCTTCCTGGAGGAGTGCACGTATTTGCACAGGATAAACATGGGTTTAAAAACTTTATGACACTTTAACTCCACTTAAAAGTCACACAATTTGGTTTCCAATAACGAGGATAATCGGCTACAGTCTAAAAGTACCTGCAGCTGCAAATGTGAAATGAGTTGGAGAGCTCAAACTGGTTTAAAATTTGGTTAAAGAATAAAAAACGAGAAACCAAGGCTTATAATTTATTTATTTACATACATACAAAATCCAAATAACTCACAAACATGTCTGCTTTGCTTTCTTTTTACACAGTTTTGATTAACACGAACAGACAGAAGGCAGTACATTTCCTATACAAATGCAAAAGAAAGGAGGAAAAACAAATACCATGAACTTTGACAGAAGCCCCTTAATCAGCTCTGTGTTCCTCAATAAGGAGTCGAGAAAAAGAGATGACGAGACATTAAGGCAAGGGCAGGGACACACAGGCCAAAGTAAGGGAAACACTTAAACAATGCTTTCTTCTTTCTCCGAACACGGAGGTGAAAGGTGAGGGGGGTTAGAAATAAAAAAAGTCCACTCCAAGAGGGTTTGACAGACAAGAAGTACAAAAATAAGCATCCAACTAACATCCTCCAAACCTGAGGGGGTGTGTCTTGTTTTCAGTAAAATCCACCCACCTAAAGTTATCTGTAAATCTAAAGTTTGTTAGAAAAACTTCTGGATGCAGTGTGTTTTTTTATTTTTCTCCCATGTTACATTTCTTTTTTTTAATAACAGCAGGAGGGGCCATGATGGTTGGAGACTCATTTTTATCCATCAGGCACAGTCTGCCTTCGACATCAACCAACAGAAAGAAGAAGAAAAATAAACTGCTGAAGTAACAGAACAACACTGGAATCTCAGGATAATACATTTACATCACCTTATGGTGAAAATATATAAAAAGAATGAATTAGAAATGAATGCAAGAAAAGTACTCTCCCATCACACAGTCACGGTTTTGAAAACGTTTGTAGTTCACACATTATTTTGACACAAAAGATTTTTTTGACACTTTTCTCCTCAGTTTGTGCTGAGGACACTAACTCGACGGCCATTTTTGTTCAGAGCAGCTCGCTCTTCAAGATTCTGTGCAAACATTCAATGCATATCCATACAGTAAACATTTTTATATATATATATATATATATGTATTATATTTATATATATATATATCTCTATAGAACATGACTTTCCGCAAGTTATGGCAGTACTGTCACACACACACATTTTGTCCTGAAGACAAAATTAGACAAAAAGACAACTGCACTGCTTTTAACTTTTCAGATTATTATTATTTTTTTAAATAATGCACAACACCTTCCACTTAATTACCTTTATTCAGTCACTGTACGTGTTAAATATCACGTTATTTACAAACTCATCTAAAAAGTCAAAATCTGCTGAAAAGTGACTTTCATTTCCTGTAAATGTAGATGCACTTAGTAATTAAAAACCTCAGCCCTGAAGATTTCAAAAAATACAATAAAAAGGAGGCATCACTTGCATTTGTAAGTGATCTGAAAAATACAAGAAAAAAAAAGAAAAAGGGGGGAGAGGGGGGGGTCGCTTGTATTCTTCAGTGATTCAGTCAACAAACTAAAGATCAGGTGGGCTTTAAGTAACATCGATAGAAACTTTGGATGAGACTGAATGATCAGTGGATCAGATCAAAAGTTCTTACATCATGCCTTAGCACCAATATTACAGAGAAATAAATATCCCTGCATTAGGTCCAGTACTGATCTCTGTGCATGCTCCAAGGCCACTAGAACGTTCTCAAAAAGAAACATTGCATACCTCATAAACAAGTGGACGTTGTGTGCAAAACCATCTAAAAACTGAATACGTCACCAAGAGTAAAAGCTTTTTCTTGTTTCCTCTCTCTCTCACTCAGACACTCATATTTGAGAACATAGTGTAACTAAAAGCTGACCTTTGATCCGTGTCAAAAGGTCAGGGCTTGATCCCCCTCTTATGTCGATGACCACAGACGACACAGTAAAAAAAAAAAGAAAAGTAACGTACCTACAGTTTAGTCCTGGCTACGACGACACATCCACAGCTCAAAGCCGGGAGAGGAAACATTTGGAGAACATGCTGCATTTATTTGGTTAAAAAGTGGCATCTCCTAAGTGTTCAGATGATCGGCCACCAGTCTCTGCATTTCTAACTAGTGACTGGTTTCCATCCTATTAGCTAGGGAACACCGACTAAAATACGAAACAAGCGTCTAACATGGCTCCGTGATTTACCCACTGAACTCCTCTCTGCTCCCCTCTAGATGTAGCAGCTCCCCAGTTAACTTCTAACACCGAGTGCTTTCCTGCCCCATGTGAGGAATAAATGTACTCCCTTTAGAAAAGATTTGTGAGAGGAATCTGAGATAGAAGTGAGTGAGGTATCTGTGCTTCCGGCTGTGAATGAAGACGTCTAGGGAGAGTAAAGGTTGGCAGTAAAACTCCAAGACTTTGTGCGGAAGTTGGCTTCTTTCATCCGATATCCTTTCTCTCCCAACGCACCTGTGCCTGACATACAGGTGCGCAATTATATTATTAAAGTATACTACGAGCAAAAATTGAATTTGGTGAGTTCACAAATGCTAAAAAGGTTGAGCTTATAACTTCTCTTTCCACTGCGACACCGCCATCTACCAGGACTGCCAGAGAGTAATCGGATATTTACTCAAAGTGCCATATTTGGTAACACTTCCAGACTTTGTGAACATCCCTAATTCAATTTTGCATGCCTGACATTAGAGAGACACACGAGACAGGAAAGCACTTCTAAGTTAAGAAAGTTTGTTCCAGGGCGGACGAGGGGAGTGAGGAAGAAATGCTCAGTGGGGTGAGATAATGCCCCAGCTTTCTCTCATGCTTACAGGAGCCTCGCTGAGTGGAGGTAGGGGGAGGGGCTCAGCTACAGGTGAAGACCAGGCGTCAGCTGGGTTGTGTCTGAGGTCAGAGTTGTCAGCATGACTCCTCCAGGGCATTGACAACCTGCTCCAGGATATCGGGGCAGTAGTCTGCTATCTGCTGGAGAACGGAGTTGGCATACTCCTGCAGCTCTCCACTCTCCTTCTCACACACCTCCAGCTCCCGCTCCAACTGGGGTGGAGAAAAGTGCATGAATTAGTTTTCTTTCAGAGTTTCAATCCAACCGGAAACAAAGTTATGAATTTTGCAACTAATAAAATGCATGCTTAGAAATGTTTGAAGTTAAAAACTAAACTTAAAATCACACATTTACAGGACAAAAGTAACAGACTTTAATGTAAAATTTAGCCAAATTTATCTGCTTTCAAATCAGATTTTAAAAAACATTTGATTGATTTTCCCTGCTGTATTTTTATTTCCTTGTCTACTGTTTTCTGTTTGTGTTTAATTTACTTTCAATTGCTGTTGAATTAATTTAATTTTCTTAATTGTGTTTTAAATGTGCTGCATAAATAAACTCAATCAAGAAGCAAACCAAATTCTCTTTAATTATTCATGCCAATATACCTGTTATTTATATTACAAATTGGTAATGTAAAAGATGATTAACAGAGAGCAACTGAGAGATCCTCCACTACCTGTTCCACACTCATCTTCTGGAGCTCCTCCTCCCAGTCTTCGGGGTCGCTGTGGTGGTAGTGAGAGGGTGGCGTGAGCTGGCTGAGGATGCTGGGGTCCCGGTCGTGGCAGAGGTCTGTCAGGTGAGCGATGTAAAGCTTGAGCTTACTGCGGTTCTGGGACAAGGCTAGAAGAGGGGGAATCATCTGCAGGGTGGGAGTGCGGAAAAACAGAGAGGAAAAGAGCGGTAAGGGATACATGTAAATATGGAGGAAAAAATAATTCAAACTACACACTAGAAGTTTAACTCCAGTTTCAATGGTTGAACATGATGAAGGAAGCACAACACCCCACTTGCATAAAAACAAAAATAAAAACAAAACACCACTTGCATGCATCTCACATTAGAGCCTCTCCAGTGCATTATTAGAATATATATATATATA